CTCCAGCTGGTCCCAGCGCTGTGGTGCCCGCCAGCATGTCACTGTCACAGCACCAGCTCCCCCAAATACCCTGCAGTCTCAGCTTGGTTACAGAGATAAGTCAGGAAAAGTGCCCCCAAGGGCTGAAAAGTCAGAAAGCAAATGAAAGGGAGCCAAATATGCTGGTTTGAAAATCTCCATGTTTTAAGACCTGACATGATTTTGGACTCTGCCTCAGATCTCCAGTGCTCGGAGCTAACAGCATTGCAGTCTCCCACCATCCTGTTTCTCCTTTCATTAGTGTTAGTGTGCCAGCTCCTTCTGCCTTTTATCTGCCCTTGCCTCTTCCAGCTCACCAGTCCCCTGAGCTCCATGTTTGTTCAAAGCTCTCCAAGCCTATGTTTGGCCTCATATTTCGCCGCCCCCTCCACCACCCTCTGTTTTCCAAGTTCCTCTTCTACTTTTAGCAACCTAATGATTACTCCAGGACATCAGGGCTTGGCTCCCGAGAGATAGAAGGAAGAAAGAGTTCCTCTTCCAAACCTGTTGGTCTTCCAGATGTGCAGAGTGTCAGGGTCTGTGATCCCTCTCTTCTCTGCTTGCTCCTCTAGGAAGTCAAAGAAATACTTCACGGCCACGGGCGGTTTATCGTCTCGGATACTGAGAATGGCTTTGAACAAGTCATCCAAGAACTTCTGGAGTGTGCCCTGTGGGACAAGGACAGCAGCAGCACATGAGCCCAGGAGAACAGCAGAGGGGCTGCAACTGCTGTGTGCAAGGGAAACCCTTCACTGCCAGTTGGATAAATCAGAAGAGAAAGGGGATTCTGATGCAGGGGAGGGAAAAGTCTGTTTGTGCATAGCGATATAATTAGCTTGCATTTGGGTTTAATTTCTTTTGGCATTGAGATTTTCTTTCTTACTGCTGGGATCTCACATCTGTGGTTGTTCTGCACAGCACATACAAAGAAGGCCAGAGACTGCTGGCCATCCTTGTGATCTCTGCTCCAGTGAGGCACCACGCTGGGATTAAAGATGGGCTGGATCTGACCTAAGATCGCCCAGACATTCCCCTTGCTCCCACAGCTGAGCATCTCCGTCTCCTGTCCCAGCAGGATGTCTTGCTGAGGAGATGGTTCAGGTCTCAGCTGTGCACCATGAGCCCTGGGGCAGTCACATCCCTTCTGCCTGCACAGCCCCCAGTGCAGCCCCACCAAACACACCCCAGCCATCCAGAACAGGAGTCCCACTGCCTCCTGAGAGCACCAGCTCTGCAGACCTCCTTCCCTGGAGGAAGCTTCTCCCTACAGACCACAAACAATGCCACCTGCTGTGAATGGGGCAGCCTGGCTCCTACCTTGGTGGAGAGCAGCCGGGTCAGGTAGATCTCTGGAAGGACTTTTTTCCTATGGCTCTGTCTGTGAGACTTCTTGTGTTCCACCGATTCGTCGGTTGGGAGGACCTGGCCCCAGATAAAACACATGGTCAGAGCACGCCACACTGCAAGTGTCACGCTGAATTTTCCTTAAAGTATAGGATTTCAGCTGCATGTAAAACTCAATTAAAATGCAGTTACTGTTTTATAAACACAGCCTTATATGGCTTTTAGAAAGTTATTCATAATACTCAGTTTTTCTGACATTTGTTTCTCCTGTGCTCTGTATTGCCTCTCTCATGCTAGACAAAGGAAATGAACCCATCCATCTCCCTTTGCTGGCCTGCTTGCCCCCCTGGGCTCTCACCCTGCTGTATCTTGGGCTCCCAGCAGCAATGTGGCTTATGTGGAAACCAGTTTTGCTTGGATTTGGAGAAGAGCACAATATGTAGGCATATTGGCTTGTTAAAAACCAAAACTGAATATTCCACTGGTCAGGTCAGTGAATTAATGGCTCTATAATTGCAAGGAGTCACTGCCATCCATCCTGGCATTGTTTCACATGTGAACAGTTGGTTTCCCATCCCTTCTCCCTCCTTGCTGTGTGTGTGTGTGTCTGTGTGTGTCTGTGTGTGTGTGTGCACGTACTTCTACTTGAGCATGGAAACTCTAGCAGAGAAAAAAAAAAAAACAAACCCAGGCTATAAAACGTTGTTGTCCATAACACCTTTTTTTCATAACAGCTTTTAGCAGCATTTAGCACTTGGCGCTTCCAGCGTGGCGCAGCAGCAGGGACCCAGGGACCTGCCCAGTCTGGGAAGCAGGCAGAGTGCCAGGTGCTCCCAGTAGGTGACCTGACCGAGGCTACCAGTGGCACTGTGCCATGCCACGCTCTGACTATGCTCCTGAGCCCTCTGTGGCTGCAGACAGCTCCATGGGGCACAGCAGTTTCTCTGCCATCCTGGTAATTCTTTATCATGTCCCCCAGTATTAAAGCTTGTTTAAACATCACCTTTCTGCACCTCTTTGTGCCCTGCTGAAGAGAACTAATGAGCCCTGATCCAGCTTGTTCATCACATCTGATGCTCCAGCCCACAGAGATGAATTAAGTTAATATCAGCAAGGCTGAGACTTTCTCCTCTGTCATCACATGCTCTGAACAAATAGGACCCACAGACTCCAGTGTGGGAGAGATAAGGGATCGCTGTGCTCTCTGCCTGTGTCCTTGCTGTCACAGCAGCAAGACAGGTCTGGGGAAGCAGAGCTCCTCGTGTTCTGCTGCTGCTGTGCAATTGCTGTGTGCAATGCCTCTGCTCCCCAGCAGCAGTCCCTGGAGGGGCAGGAGGGGAGGGCAGCCCCCAGCCCCCTACATGCAGCCAGCATCCCCACAACCAGGACTGGGATACTTACCAAGTGGAAGTACTTCTCAGTGTCCAAATCCTTCACTGTGAAGAAGAAGAGAGACACAGCAGCTCAGTCAGGAGGCCCAAACCAAAACCCACCTCCACATCAAGAGGCATCTGAACCCCAAGAACCCAAACACTAAGCTGGTGTTCCCACACCAAGTGATCTCAGGTTTGGGGTTGTTTATTTGGGGCATGTGGGAAGTACCTCAGGAGGTACTTTAAGGGCGACTTAGGTCTCCCAAGGGGTATTTTAAGAGGGACCCAAGAGGGGACAAGAGCAGGATGAGTACAGGGTAATTTTGCACTGATGCCCTGCTGTGCCCTGTGCTCCCATGGACACCTCCCAACCTCATCATCAGGGCAGCTTAGCCCCAAGCAGCTCCTTGCCCCAGCGGGTGAAGGGCTCCCACTGCAGAGCCAGGCTCCATGTGGGCGGCCTGGAAACAGGGTTTGAAATTCCTTGTTCAATGTGGATTTTTGTCTCTCTTGGTCTGTTTTGACTCTGCACAGCCTGAAACCTAGAAATGTGCTGGCAAGAGTCTGCACATGTGTAATTGGGAGGGAGAGGGCTTTTCCAACCAAGTGGTTTCAGATTCTTCCTTTTTCTCACTCTGTCAGCACAGATTGGATGCAAACCCCCACCGAGGGTGTGAGATGGAAGGTGCAACCACCTTAAGAGCTGGGAAAGCGCTCTGTATCCCAGCAAGCAGGGAGAGGAGGAGACTGGATAGCACATGTTTGGAGCCACAGCACCCCAGAGCCCAGGCACAGGGGCTGGCAGCGCTCCCAGCATCCCCCCAGACAACCCTCTGACAATGCAAGTGTTCCTGCCCGGTCACCAGCAGCAGGAGAAGTGGAGCAAGACATTACCTCTGCTCGGCGTGGTGTCCTTCTTGTCTGACAAACTCATGGCCAGGGATGCCCCTTCAGGGATCTGTGGAGGAAGGGAAGAGCAGGCACCAATGATAGGGGCCTTAACAGTGCCTCCCCAGCCACGAGGAGATCCCAGGAGCTGGGGGACACTGGAGCAGTGGTTCTGCCACAAATGTCCCTTGCACTCACCCTGCCCTGCCCCCCAGGTGGGAACTGGCAGTGATGGCACTGCCCTACACAGAAAGGGAATTTTCAATGGTTCTCAAATCCAATGGGAATTGGGCAGCTCTGTGTATCCGAGATACATTTCTGGATGTCAGCGCCAGGTAATTTGGAGAGGAAGGAGGGCTGTGCTGTGCAGGTGGTGGTTTGCCCTGCCCAAAGTGGGAGAGGAGCAGGCTGCAGGCTGGACCTGTGGGGCTGGTGCAGCCTCTCTGCTGCAGGGCCCCGTGCCAGCACAGCTCTGCGCCACGGCTGCTACCCCGATAACCATATTAATGAGCACTCGGCTCCGCTTTTGTTTTCCACGCACGGCTTCAGACCAGGGAGGATTACGCTCCCAGGCATACCAGGGAATATGGAAATCATGTAAGTATTTCTGGTTTCATTTAATTTTAAAAGGAAAAAAAGGGTCAAGAAAACAATTTGATTTGCCACATTTTCCCCACGTTTTCGGCCTCGGCTCCTCAATGGCATCTCCAGTCCCTGATCTCAGGGCAGGCACCGACTGGTGTAGCCGTGATTTCAGTAGGAGTATGGATCAAGTGCAGAGTGATACTAATCAGCCAGGCTGGTGGCCCTTGGGAATAAGAGCTTTTTTCCCTCCTCTTTCTGTTGTCAGTAATAACTTGTTTTGCATGAAGAGTGTTTAATTAGTTTCTGTGTGTTGCAATATTAACGAGCTGTTCGCCAGGGCAGATGTCTATTCCCTGGAAGCTCTCAGGGAGCTATGGCAACCTCCCTACTTGTTCCTGACGATCCTGTTTTTGGAGGGGAGCTGCAGCTCACCCCGGAGGCCAGGCAGGCTCTGAGGAGGCAGAGCTCCCCTGCGGCGCCAGCAGCCTTACCTTGTAATGTGCTAATGTGTTGAGCTTCTTCCTGCCATCCTCCACCACCGAGGTGTCATCCAGGTCCCGCAGGATGTAGCTGTCGGTGCTGGTGGCAAACCACTCTGAACACAGAGAGGGGAGAAGTGAGAGCCCAGTATGAAGGAGGCAGGTGCCAGGAAGACTACCCTGCTGTCTGCCCTCCTGTCAGCACTGCTTCACCCAATGCTCTGACATGACACCCAATGCTGTGCAACACCAGGTGCTCCCTCTGGTTTTACAGGCTGGCTGCTCCCTTGCACCTGGTCCTTACCGAGGTCGACGTCTTCCACCCTTGGCCACTGGGAGTAGGGCACGTTCTTGCAGAAGGCCTCTAGAATCTTCTCCTTCACTTGGCTGAGTGTGTCCGTGTCCATGGCCCTGACGCTCAGGGAGTCCATCCCGCAGCCTTGGAAGGAGACGTTGAGGTTCTGCAGGCAGAGGCTGCATTAGGAGTGACCTGCCTGGCTCTGCTGGCTCCCAAGGACAGCGTGAGGCTGCGGCGCCCGCACGGCTCTGGCTGGTGTGCCCCGGGCCCCGTGCTGATGGAAATCAGGCTGAACTAATGTGCCATCGAGGCTTTACGGCGTGTGAGACGCTGATTTACAGCCCTGGGGGCCGAGGGCCCCGTTTGTTGACGGAGCCGGGAGGACACAGGGAGTGACACCGCAGCCCCTCTCACGCTGCACTGCTAATGGGGCTGAGCCCTGACGCAGAGACCACCGCGGGGTGGGACAAGGGTCAGCCCCCACCATCAGTCATGTCCTCAGCTGCTTGGCTCCAACTGGTGACTAATGGGGCCGCCAAGGCTCATTGCTCAGCCTCTGCCTGACGCAATGGGCCGAGCTCCACTGCTTAAACAAGCTCTGAGCCCACCACCAGCACC